AACATCACTGTGGAAAGGGATTAAAGAAATGAAACAGAGGTATCCAATTCCCTGTTTGCATTCTTGGGAAAGCTAGGCAGTTCTCACTCATAATGTTTCTTCCCCTTGCAGCTCCCTGAAAGTTCCCTATTACCCTTAACTTCACCACTCTCTCCCTCTCTTACTAAAACAAACCAAAATTTGCTTCAATTGTGAGAAAGAGAGAGAGGGTGACATCTTGAGTTTTGCCAGTCTCGGGGAAGGAAAAGCTAACAGGAGGGAGTTAGGAAAACATAAACAGCAAAGAAGTACAGAAAGGTTAGGAGTGGTGATTGAAAGTGGGGGCAGCGAACATCTCAGCTTAGCAAACATCTAATGTGTTTGAGATTCTGAGGGGAATGGAAATATACACAGCTCAGGCCCTGCCCTGCAATCTGGCAGGGTAGATGAGGAATGCTTGCTCAGCCTCGTGCTACCTGATTGACCTTCCTTGGCTGAGTGCCTCCGCTTCCTTCTCTGCAAAATAGGGAAAAATAAAAGCATCTACCTAATAGGGTTGTTGTGGGAGTGTGTGAATACACGTAAGAGGGTCTGGACAAATGCCAGACACAGAGTGAGCCCCTATGTTGCTATTATTATGTTGCTAATATTGCCTTACAGTTCTGGGGTTAGCATCTGGGGAGGCAGGAGCAATGAAGGGAAGACAAAGCAGATGAAGGAGACAGAGCAAACTAGTCTGGGGAGTCAGCCTGTGCTGAATGATGGCTTCTATGGATATGCCTGCAGAACCAGGCAACATCCTTGCCGCTCCCCTTGCAGCTGCTTAACCTGTTTTGGATGGATGCTTCAGGCAGCAGCCCTGCAAGCCCTCCTTTGGATCACTCTGCAGGGGGTGGGAGGAGGCAAAACTGTGCATTTTCTTTCCTGAAACTAAATATTTACACCCTCTAATTTCTTTTTCTGCAAAAGAAAGGCTTTTTCCAGCCATCGCTAGATACAAACCCTTTACTCCTCAAAGAGCTGAGAACAGCTCTTTATTGGAACAGCAATTCTGATGGCAAGGGCCGGAGACAGACGCCAATCTCTCCATCCATCTCCATTTTTCCCTTGTCCGCTCTCAATGCTGGGTGTCTGTTTCATTTCCACCCCAGCCAACGCCATTGATTTCAAGAACTACCCCATCTCCTCCCTCTGTATTCCTTTCCCCTTATTTATAGCAAACCACCTAATCCGCCACCCATCCTTTGTCTGACCCCAGCCTCTAGCACAAGGATTTCAGCAGGACGCCCTCCCCCACTCGGGTGGGCGGCAGGAGGCCTAGCCGGCATCTGTGCAGTACTCACCGAGGGGCTGCCGGAGGAGCCTACCGCAGTCCAGGCTGGGCCTCGGTAGGGGTCGCACCGGGAGCGGGCGAGCTGGAGAGCTCGTGCGTCACCTCCCTCCGCATCTTAGCTCCGCCCCGGCCCCTCCTCCAGCAGGTGGAAGTCGCCTCCCCAGGACTCTGCAGAACGCATCCCAGATGCGTGTGTGCCTCTCACCCAGAGCCACACAGCACTTCAACCCACGTATTCTGCATACAAACCTCTTGACTATGAAACCTCTTTCTCCACCGACCTGCAGGAGGGTCAATCTCAACAATGTGCCCAATTGCTACCATAGCACATCTTTAATTTTGCCACCCTCTAGAAGTTTTTTGTTTTTAAGTCTTTTAGCTTGAAGAGGGAAGAGACAATGAATGGTAGGAGTGAAACAAAAGATGAAGTCCTAAGAGCTCTTAATGATGGCTATGATAAGGTACATAAAGCTTTCAGGAGCACTGTTATTGAGCTGGAAAACTATGGGGATATTTACTACAAGCTAGAAACTTCTGTTAAAATGCTAAACTTGAAAATCTAAAGAATGTTAGGTCTGAGTGTTATTGTAAACTTCCACACCAAAAATAAAGTAAAATTCCACTTTGGCCTGAAGAGAAACCATACTCCCAGCATATTGCAGAAATATATCCGGGTAGGCCCAGAATTATTTTCTGTTATTGAACAGGGCTTATGGAGCACCTACTATGTGCAATCTTGAACATTTGGAACTTGTTCAAATACAAAAATTGAAATGTAAAGCCATACAATACAATATATATAGTACTGCAAGTTTCTTTCATCAAGACTGGGGATGTCTTTTCAAGCTAAAAAAAAAAAAAGAAAAAGAAAAAGACAGGGGATGGATGAGTAGAGTACCTGGGGGTCTGAGAATAACTGAGTAACTTGATGAGGTTAGAATCTAGATTTCTTTACCTTAGATCTACACAGCGAACCCATTATCATCTGCAGCAATCTTAAGCAATGAATAGAAGCTGGCAAAATTCATTCATGAGACACAGGGCCCTTTGTTTTAAAGCCAAGCCTCCTTGCTAGTGTTTTTGCTTGCATGCCTCTCTTCTGTTTCCTGCTGTTTAGGTGCATGCTAAATCACAGACGATGCTGGGGTTTAATATTTATTTTTTGAAACAAGGTCTCACTCTGTTTCCTGAACTAGAGTGCAGTGGTGTCATCATAGCTCACTACAACCTCAAACTCCTGCGCTCATAATCCTCCTGCCTTCTGAGTAGCTGGGACTACAGGTGTGTGCCACAATGTCCAGCTAATTTTTAAAATATTTGTAAAGACAGGGTCTCGCTATGTTGCTCAGGCTGGTCCTGAACTCCTGGCCTCAAGCGATCCTCCTGCCTTGGCGTCCCAAAGTGCTAAGATTACAGGCCTGAGCCACTGCACCCAGCCAAATACTACTGATGTATAATGAGACTTTTCTCAATTCTGATTATCACTTTAGCATTGTTCACTGTTACCCTCACTTTATGCTTGGAAAAAATGAAGTCACGACTTAACTACTTTTGTGTTGAGTGGAAATTTGACTGAAATACACCAAAATGCCTATGCTTCATATCAAAGTGGCTATATTAAAAACAAACATATATTCTGGATTTGATTATTAAAATTCTATATTAAATTCTTAGTGATTATAGAATGTGGCCAGTCTAATTTAAGTTCTACGTAGTAAATTGTATTGTTTGTTGCTCATAAGATAACCAAATTAACATTAGATCTTTATTTATACTTATAAGATAAAGTGAAAAGAATCCTTGAAGTTACTACTGCACATGTCCACTTTTGACTTTGTAACATATATTTGTATATCATTTGATCAAATATCCCATGAAGTTGGTAACATTATCTCCATTTTGTATAAGAAAAAATGAGAACATAGATTAAATCAAGTCTAAAACTCAGCTTTCCTGACTGCAATTACCATGCCTCCAAGCTATACATTTTCGTATTCCTATAATACTCTGTATTGCAGCTTTCAGCTAACAAAAATGGAACATGTGGGTAGTTTTCTAAAAAAAATACATTTTTCATTATTGATTCATCCCTCAGAAAAACCACTAATTCAGGTGGTTTGTACAGTTAATTTCCTATGCCTTCTTCCTGAATTAGTCTTCCAATTAAACATTTCATCCCTCCCCCATTATATAAAATGACATTAATACATTTTTAAAAATTCAAAAGTGAAGTTAAAGAAAATGTTTATACCAGACAACATATATCTCAAAGTGTATGAATGTTGTCTCTACTTAAAATTAGAAATACCATAAACATCTGAAATGCATATCTAGGCTATATTATCAACCTATTTGATATCAGATATGTATATCTACAGATTTATAGTCTTTATATAAGTCAAATACTTACTCTGAGAAGGCACTGATTCCTAGGTAATGAATACAGAAACGGGAAATAGCTTTGAAATAAAACAGATATACTGGCATCAAGTACAGCTTGGTAAAGCAAACATTTGATGACTTGAAATTGCCCATCCATACACACACTGGAAGTCTGCTTGTTCAGGGTGGTGTGCAATGCTGCTCAAATCTGCTCCAACACCTAAACATGGCCTTCTAACTGACCTGCAAAACTATCTTTAATGGTTGATTCTGTCTTATTCCTTCCTCTAAAACCTAAAGAATATGTTCTGTTGTTTATAATACTCTTTCTTTAAAGATTTTTAATTTGTAATAATTTAAAATATAAACTTAGGCAGATTTGCTTGAACATTGGTGCATGTTCTGAATGGCACTTTGAATTTCATTAGAGTCTCAGGCAAGTAATTTTCCAGAAAGTTATCTTTAATATCTATGCTAAATAAATAACATTTACACACAAGACAAAATCATCATAGGTTTTTATCCAAGTAAAATGTACAGAGGTGCATCAAGTATTCTAAAATCAAGCATCTACATGAGAAATCATCTTGATTACACTTTTTTAAAGTTTAATTATTCCTCTTTAAATAGTTTCCATTTCTATATCGGACAAAACAGATACAAATGTATTTGTGCAAATTATCTTTAAAAACACAATATGGCTTAAAAGTCATCAATTACTTCTACATCCTAATATATGAGCACATTTTAGTCTTTATTCTGCCTTAGCCATTTTCTTAGTTCAAGTGAACACATGGTACATCTACAGATGACATAAACCAAAGTACTCTGCCCCAAAGAATAATTAGGATGCTATTGAAGAAAATTAATTTCTAGGGATTTTGGTAAAGACAATACACATTAATATAATTCACAACATAATATTTGCAGGGCTTATCTCTTCCCTTTACACACTAGAAATTTATTATAGAAACCTTATCGACTTGGAGGAATAACAGGAAATAGGCACAACTTGCTCCGCTCTTCCTGTCACACACAAAAATCATGCAATTTTCAAAACTTGATTTCTTATAAAGCCAGTCAATAATTTCTTTAAGAAGGTAAAGTCTAACTTCCGCTTTAAGAGATCACAATAAAATTAAAGTTTAAATACTGCCATAATTAAGAAAAACAAAGTAGTTATTCATACAAGTATAGAAATCCAAGTTCCTTATGCAGTGAAGTTAAAATGTTTTAGAGAAAATCTACTGGTTAACAATCACCCTGAGCTAAGAATTAACATGTGGATTATCCTGCAAGTCATATCACCAATTGTTTGCTTTATTTACATTAACGACAAGTATAACATTTATCAATTACAAGTCTACAGGTTTACTTGTTGGTAGTAGTTGAGTTTTTCCGATAGGATTTTTTGGAGAACCTTTGTACCAGACCCTTTCTTTTTCTGATGGTTTCCTAAGGACCCTATTATTTATCTCAGGAAAAAAGCTCATATTGTTATTTACAACAGATTTTGATATATCCTGATTAGTCAGGTCATCCAAGGGAACCTTAACTTGGCCATCAGATATCATTTCCTGTTCACAAACTCTATTAAACCTAAGAGAAGCATTCGCTGAATCTGGGTGTTTCTTGATCTTTAAGAAAGATTTAGAAGTTAACTCCATGCTTGATTTTGAAATTGCACCAACATTTGACTGTTCACATGATGTAGACTTCTGTTCTTTAGGACATGATTTGGTACATGAAGCAAAGGGATCCTTTGATGTATTTTCTACACAAGAGGGAAGAGCACCGTCACAGCTCACTGACTTAACCAGAGGAGAAGCAGCATCACCAAGACTCACCAACTTATGCCTTACAGGTTGCCTGCCATACTCCAACAAAGAATTAATTCTTCTGACAGACTGACGGACAGGAGTACGCTGAAACTTAAGAGGTGACTTAACTTTTGTTCTATTTGGTTCATTTAAAGAAAGCTTGTTAAACCACTGTATGTGATCTGAAACCTTCCCATGTTCTGTCATTTGTAAACTTTCAGAAAAAGTTTTACCACATGTTTCCACCAGTGACTGCTGTTTAGCGATTCTCATAGGCCTAGGTTTTGACAAGTTTGTCATAATACATGTACTCTGCTGTGAGGAAGAGGATCTAGCCTCATCCTCCCTAGAAGCTGCATGTTTCAGTGAGTTCTCTTCCATCATATTCTCATTCTCCTTTAATTCAGTATTTAGTTTATCCCTTGGATACTGTTTCTTCATTTGTTCATCACTGGAGAATTCTTGCTTGCTGAAATAATCTTTTGGTATATTTGAATGATTGTCTTCTTCATGTTCCACCTTCACCTGAATTGAATAACATTTTATACCTGCTTCTCTGTCAAATTTTTGAGTTTGATGTGGTGAAAAGTCTCTTTCTGAAATATGATTTTCATCTTCATCAGTGTGGTGTTCATAATTTTCCTTTGATTCTATTACAGTCAAATCATTAGGTTCAAATACATTTTTCTCTGGGCTATATTCTGTGTAAGATGTTTCTTTTACTTTCTCCATATTAGTTATTGATGACTGCCTATGATTTATCAATGCAGGAAGATTACTTCCAGATTCAGAAAATGCCTTCTGAATTTTCGCCAAAGTCTCTGTGGTCAAGTTATTTTCATCCCCACTAAGGGAGCTTCCCATTACGTTGCTATTACGCTTATTGTTTAAATCAGAAGCAATAAGTTCATATGAAGAAGCAGGTGACTTTTCAACAGTAATATCAGGCTCCAAAGAAGAGTTTTCTACCTCAGGATTTCCCACTACTGAAGAAGCTCCATTTGCATCTATTTCTTGAAAACTTGAATTACTAGGTCCTGTCCAAGACATCCGATAATTTGTCCCATCTAGTCGCTCGGGAGTTAGTAAGTTTTCCTCAGACTTACTGATCTTTTTTGAACCTAAAATAAAGCAATTCAGTGTTTTTAATCCTTTGTATCCAACTATATTTTGAAATATTATCCAAATACATGGCAAATAAAGGCACTAAGGACCAAATTCCAATAAAGACTTGTGTTAAAATACATAATTTTTAATATAAAAATGTCAGTCATTTTATATTTACATCTATAAGAATTCTCCAATTGTTGACAGGAATTTAAATATTTTTACTATTCAAACATGAAATTTTAATTTCTAGGAAGTAAAGTACTTGATACATTTTATCACTAAGAAAAAGCAACTAAAGTAGGATTTTTGGGTAAAACTCTAACAGTATCATGTAAATGTACCTTTCTTTGGTAACCTTTCATCAATATCTGGACTAAAAAGCAGACCTGTTTTTACAGATTCAATCCTATTTTTTAAACTTCGTTGATTTGCAAGTCGCCGGCCAACATTTTCACATCTATTGACATCAGAACATCCATTCTGCACAGAAAAGAAAAATTAAAAAGGTCTGGTTAAGAAATAAGCCTAGTTAATTGAAAATATTAAGACAAAGTAAATTTTTTTGTAGTTATCAAAATCTATAGCTGATTAAAAAGGCATATATAATTGGGAAACAATTTTATAACAAATACAAATATTCTTGCCTGCTAATGAAAATTATAATTATTTGACTTGGCAATTAGTTGATATTTTATGATCTAAAATAAAACATACTTGCATATTCATTAATTAAAAACATTTTCTCTTGTGCTGACTCTGTGCTAGGGCCTGTTCACAAATTATGAAAAACAAATCCTAGATCAAAATCTTACCCTTATTACATTCTATTTAAATGCGAGACTTAGACCAAAACAAGATAAACAATAAATTATATTATATAAATACAATATACAAGAGAAAAGTAAAACAGGGTAAGAAGGATATGGAGTGGTGAATGGTAGGAGTGTAATTTTAAATAGGATGATCAGAAGATGATTTGTGAGTAAAGAACAAAAAAGGCAAGAGCCATGAAAATTTAAGGGGGAAGAACACTACCCAGTGCAATCTCTGAGGCTGGAGCAAAGTCTGGCATGATCACAAACAGCAAGGTCAGAGTGAATGGAGCAGAGTGAATAATGGGGACAGGAGTAGGGACTGGAGAGGCAGCCTGGGAGCAAATCACCTGGAGCCTTGCAGGTCTATGTGAGAACTCTGGCTTTTATCCAGAATGAAATTCGAGGGTTCTGAGCAGAGAAATGATACAACTTAACCTGGGTTTTAGAAGTATAATTTTGGCTACAGTAATGTAGCAAGAATAGAGGAAGGTAGACCTATAGTAGGAGCTTACTACAGTAATCCAGCTGAAAGACGACAGAACTTAAGAGAAAGTAGGAAAAGTAGTACTAGTGAAAACTGGTCAGTTTGGAGATACTCTGAAAGCAGAATTAGACAGGATTCTCTAACAGATTAGACATGATGGTTCATGAGAGAAAAGTGAGGGATCAAGAATGCTGCTAAGGTTTTGACCTAAGTGACTGGAAGAATGAGTTGCCATAACTGAGATAAGGAAAACTGTAGTTAGAAGTTTTAGTGGCAGGGGGTGGGGTAGTGGACAGTGGCAGCAAAGAGATGCACCTCAGGAGCTCTTTTTGGGACAGGTTACACTTGAGCTATCTATTGAATTAGATATCCAAGTAGGAAAGTCAAATAGGTAGACGTTAAGAAACAAGAAAGTTGTTCAGGAGAGTATTTTGGGCTGGAGAACTTAAGTTTGGAAGTTTTAAGTAAATACAGGTTAAGCATTCCAATTCTGGAAAACTAAAATCCAAAGTGCTCTGAAATCTGAAACTATTTGAGCACTGACATGTCACTCAAATAAAATGCTCATTGGAGCATTTCAGATTTTCAGATTAGGGATGCAGAACTGTTAAGTATAATGCAAATATTCCAAAATCCAAAAAAAAAAAAAAAAAAAAAATCTGAAATCTGAAACACTTCTGATCCCAGGCATTTTAGATAAGGGAAACTGAACCTGTATATAATGTTTACAACTGGTGATCATCTTAAGTGACTGGAGAGAGAAAAGAGAAGTCCAAGTACTAAGCTTTGGGCACGTAGACGTCAGGGAATTTTGAAAAGTAGCCAGTGAAGAAGCAAGGAAAGAAAATATCCCAAAGACCAAAGAGGAGTAGGTGATCAGCTGTGTCAAGCCCTGCTGACAGGTCAAGTCAAATAAGGACTGATGTTTGACCAACTGGTTTGAGCAACATTTAATTCATGGGTGACCCTGATGAGAGCAGTTTCCGTAGAGTATTGGGAGAAAAGTCTGATTGGAATTGATTTAAGCAGAGTAGAAAAAGAAGAACTAGAGATATCAACTCAAGTATAGGAGTTTGGTATAAAGAGAACAGAATGGGACAGTAGCTAGAGGAGAGGCAGGGTCAAGAGTGTCTTTTGTGCATTATAAACAGATTAGTGAAATGGCAAGACACTTACTACATCTTTGCTATTTTTCCCTAGACCAAATTTCAAACGAAGAGATCTTCGAACATTTTCTTTACAACTGATTTTAGGAGAGAAGCAGCCTGCTTTTCCTGATTCCACCCTGAAAAGAGAGAAATTAAAAATGTCAGTTTATGGTATAAACACCAGAGAAATTCTTACAAAATGAAATTTGAGAGAGTCTACAGTAAATCATATTGCTAATAATTGAGCAGAATAATAATTTTTTAAAACCAGTTAAATTTTAAGGTACCGTATGTGAACCCTGCATTTGCATATAAAAACAATCTGTTTATGATGTTATTTAGTCACTTATGCATTGGAATCATTGGAATAGACTAATGATTTTTAAACTAACAGGACATTATAAAACTACACCATCAGCATAAAAGGATTCTGAGCAAGTAAAGCGAACTCAAATTAAGAATCTTTCTCTGGTGGACATTTGATTAATAAGACTATAAAGGCAGAAGGGATTTTTAAAATTTATGATTCTTGGTAGAATAAAATGTTTTACTAACTATTTATATACCAAATATATATCCAATGTAAACAAAACGTCCTGGATAAATTACCTGCAAACTTTTTTGCCTGCAATTCTTTTACTTCTCCTTGGCACACCTGTACTGATCAAATGATTTCCACTGATGGCTACAGGAGAGAATGAACTCTGAGATGACCCTTCTGAGCTTGTATCAATGTGAACTATAAAAATAAGCACATGTAACATACCATACATACTTATTTTCCTTTTAAAATGTAAAATATCAACAGCAACAATTAGATTTAAAGCCTTAATTTCTACCCCCAAGCAACAATAGTAATTGATTTCTGGTTAGAAACTTTAGGTGTCAGATAGCCCAACTCAACTAAAAAAGGTATCCATTTCTTACTTTTGAGTTGTCAATTAAAGGTCAGATTCAGCATGACTTTCACATTAGAGTTTTGCTTTAAATTCTTTTAATAATACAAGGAAGGCGTGGGCACTGTTGTAGATTGAAGAGAAAGCTTTGGAGACAGACTTGACTTGAATTTGCCCTATCACTTAGTAAATGGCTTTAGGCTCTTAAAATGGATTTCTATAATGAATATAAATATTACTGTTATGTATATACAATGTCTAATATAGTATGCGGTATATAATATTAAGTAATACTATTATGAAAAATAAGCTATAGACAAACAAGGTGCAGTCTGAGTATCTGGGATATACCTGCTAGCCAACTGCTGTCCACCTGACTCTGGAATGTAATTTATCCAACATTTTTGGAAAACAAACAAAAACTAATTATCTATAACACATGCCTAACCACCTGGCCACTGTTGTGTTCCATGAGAATAACTCGTAGTTAAAACAGAAGCTCAGTTCAACACCATTTATATCATGAAATCGACTATAGTAAAAAAATCATGAAAAAAGTAAAATAGTTATGAACACAGGCTCTGTATACATTTGACTTATGTTTTTTAATAATATCCAGTATACGCTCAACAAATATGAACCCTCTCAGTTCATTATTGTTATTGATAAAGAATTCACAAAGCTCCCAGAAAAAATACAATCATTACGGTGACTTTTGGGGTGCATTTGACTGAAGAAAATTTTGGAAACCAATATAACATATCCAATGCAACCTAGGTAGCTTTATTACAGGGCTGCAGTCTAGTCATTTTGAAAATGGGTAGTGGTCACAGGAAGCACAGTCAGAATATATGGAATGATGCAAATTTATCACATATATAAGAACAAAATTAATATATACTCAATGGACTATAGATCAATGTTGTTGCCTTTATATATTTTAAAAAGCATCATATTGTTATAATCTAAACTTAGAAATCAGCCTATTTTCAATTTTGCAAATGAATTTATTGAGTTGTGGCACAGAAAGTAGGGACAAAGAAAAATGGTGAGTTAAAAATAATAGGATTACTGTTGTTGAACCTTTAAATTTTTTGAAAAGGAATCAACAAGTTTATTTCCTTGGGGAAGATGCTATAAAGCTAATAAACAAAGGCAGGTAGAACTATAATTCTCATTTGCCATTTGGAAAATGTCCCCCAAATTGGAAAGGCTTTTAAATATTAAAAAAACAAAAATAACTATATTACTTTAAAGGAGTTTAAGTCTCCAACCTCAGAATACTGAATGAGCTACAGACATAAGATTCAGAGTTCTTATCATTTTACTTTAATAAGCCATAGAGAACCTATGATACTGTTCAACTTTTTAGTAGAATAAACAAGGAAAGTATAAACCTTTTCAATAACAGAAACAAAAGAGAGGCTTTTGGGAAGAAGAGCTCACATAACTCAGCTAATGAATTCAAAATGAAACACCATCTGAAACCAACAAAATAAAAATCTAAAAGATCACCCACATTTTAACTAAATGTGAGATATACAAATATGAGACAGAAGACCCTGGGCTTCATTAGGATTTCATTTCATCTTTGGTTGACCATAAGGTTAACATGAGCCCACTTGTATTTTGCACATGCTGAAAGAGCCAACTCAACCTATGACCAAACTAACAAAAATCTAGTCTCTAAGTTAGCATGAGACTATATTATTTTCAAAGGCTTTGGTTGGCCACATTAGGAACTTATAGTTAATTTGTAAGAAAATAGCTGGGCTGGTAAGAGGTCTAGAAACCATGCCACAAGGAAGAGTATAAACAAAGTTTTAAAGCTTTTATAAAAGGTACTTGAGTCTAAAACTTTAAAATATTCCCATTCTCAAAACTATAATCTGCGATGGTAACACTCCCACTCTGGATTCAGAGATGATCAAACTTTTGGCAACCTTGACTTAACAGAAGATAGCAATAAAGTCATAGCTATAGATCAGAAGTAACTAAAGTAGGATTCGGGATATCTAATCAAATAAATCCCGAGCATCAATGCTACCCACAAAAGCCCAAAATACCACTCTGAAGTTTTGTTTGTTTGTTTGTTTTTGAGACAGGGTCTCGCTCTGTTGCCCAAGCTGGAGTACAGAGTGGTGCAATCATAGCTCACTGTAACTTCAAACTCCTGGGCTCAAGCAATCCTCTTACCCCAGCCTTCTGAGTAGTTGGAACCACAGGCGTGCTCCACCAGGCCCAGCTAATTTTTAAATTTTTTGTAGAGATGGGGTCTCGCTATGTTGCTCAGGCTGGTCTCGAACTTCTGGGCTCAAGGGATCCTCCCAGCTTGGCCTCCCAAAGCACTGGGATACAGGGTGTGAGCCACTGCGCCCAGCCCCACTCTGAGTTTTTATCATAAATTTCAATAAGGCATGGGCATAAAACACACACACACACCCACACACAAATTAATTATATCGAACCAGTGTCTATTTTAAAAGGCAGGGAGCTTCTACCTAGAATAGACATTCATGTTAATGTTTACAGCCCACTTATATAAATTTTATTTGCTACCTGATATTGGTGTAGAACTGCTACTGAAGAGATTACTTGGCAATAGCTCAAAGTTAAAATTGTGCTTGATGGACTTCCTTTTCTTACTTGAGAAACCATGAGACGAATCTACTGGCAGTTTACGTTTAGCATTTGGTGTAAGAATCACTGGTGATACAGATAGCTGGGCTGAAAAAATATCAAAAAGAAAACCAATTTGTTGTTTCTCCTGCAGAGTTGATAAAATACGAAAGCTTTATGTAATTTCTTCTTATAAAGCTATTACTTAGAGCTAACCAAAAAATAACAGGGATACAGTGTCATTATCAATTTTATGTTATACAACTAAATTAAAACTCTGCAATTACTTAAAATGAAAATAAGGAAGCCGCAAAAACGCAAGATTTAAGAAACAGCAGTAACTTAAACCAAATCGACTAAAAGATGCATATGATACACATTGAAGAATATTAACATAGGGAAGAAATTATAGTCAAGGAGTTGAAACAAAACTGATCTAAATATTATTTTTGCTTTTAATCATAACTGAATATTAATCAGTTCGTTTAGTCACTCTGAAAACAAAAGATCATACTGTCTCTTATTAACTGAATGATTTCAGCCACAAGCAACTTAGGATAAAAAAATTCGAACAGACAAACTTGTGGTTCTAAAACAAAAATGAGGTTGAGCTATTTTCACACATTCAATAGCATTTAAATTATAAACAACAGAAAAGTATGATCAAGATTAAAGATGTGACAATAGACTAAAAAAATTTCTTACCTACAATGTTGGGTTCATTATAATGTAATTAGCAATGTCAAAACATAGTATATATTAGTACAACATCTTCATTGAAAATAACATTTGGATTTGCTTAAACTAAATTTGATTAACTAAAGTAAGTTAGGTAATTATTACTATAGTTATTTTTGTAGACTACTATAGAAATTTTCATTTAAATAGATACATATAATAAATACCTACCAATTCTTTCCTGTTGAGGTGTAATAGAGGGTGTTCTGTTAGATTTAAATTTATTTAGTGCTCCACTCACAAAATCTGAAATGCAAAGCATATATAATCATTTAATCTATTATAACTTAACATTTACCTATTTTTCACATATTTGTGGTCTTTTAACATCTTTTATCACCTTATACAATTTTAAAGTTATTTAAGGCTATTTAAGGAACTATTTCAAATTTGAAAGAAATACTAAAGGATATATTTTTACTCCGTTCCCCTATTATACCTCTCTATCCCTTTTAAAAAGGGAGTGTAATACAGAATGAAATATGATACAAATATGTAAAATGTACCAAAAGGGTAGGGAAGAGGGAATCATTACTTGTTGAAGCAAAAGATGATGGTCTGAACTGAGGCAGGAGCAGTGGAAATGGAGGCAAGAATAAAGGTATTTAACAGATTAAGGTGACAACATTTAAGTCATCAATGGGAAGTCAAGATGGGGAAAGAGCAGATAAGGCCACCTAGAATTCTGATTTTGATGACTGAGTAGACAGTGGTGCCACTGAATGAAAAAGGAAATTATGCAAGGAAGAGTTAGACATGCCTATGAGACGCTTGAATGAATATAAATCCATCTGTGGAAAGATCAGGGCTGGAGAAGCCGATCTGGGAGCCATCAGCCCAAAAATGGTAGTTTTTAAAAAATGTGAGTGAGTGAGATCATTTAAGAAAAGGGCAGGCCGGATGCGGTGGCTCACGCCTGTAATCCTAGCTCTCTGGGAGGCCGAGGCGGGCGGATTGTTTGAGCTCAGGAGTTCGAAACCAGCCTGAGCAAGAGCGAGACCCCGTCTCTACTAAAATTAGAAAGAAATTAATTGGACAACTAAAAATATATAGAAAAAATTAGCCGGGCATGGTGGCACATGCCTGTAATCCCAGCTACTCGGGAGGCTGAGGCAGGAGGATCGCTTGAGCCCAGGAGTTTGAGGTTGCTGTGAGCTAGGATGATGCCACGGCACTCACTCTAGCCAGAGTAACACAGTGAGACTCTGTCTCAAAAAAAAAAAAAAAGCAAAGGGCAAAGTGTGAGAAGAAGGTCAGGCATAAAAGAATGGGATATTTAAGAGGTTTTCAGAAAAAGAAAATCCAGAAAATGAGATAAAATAAATGGCCAAAGAGGTAAGGGAACAGGCAGCAAGCATAGTGTTACAAAAAACAAGGAAAAAAAAAAAACACCAAAGAAAGAAATGGCCAAGTGATCAGGGATTCTGAATACAGGCCTAAAAAAAATATACACTTGATTTAGCTATAAGTAAATTGTTATGACTTGAACAGGAATAGTTTTATGCATAAATACTCCCCTAACTTTCAGCCGGATTAATCACCAAATACCACTTAATATGGTTATGTAAATGTATAATCAGTTTAGTAATAACCACTTATGTGTTACTGAGAAATTTTACACCCTCAAGTGAAATAGGTACCAACCAGAGAAGAATATTGAAAACCTCAATTAAGAGCTAGAGATGGACAATGCTCTAACTGGCAGACAATGGCTAATAAAGACAACCTTTATGACACCTGTGCAGTAAAGGAAGTTACTATGGGAGAGGAAAAGGAGACAAAAGAAAAAGGAGAAATGAGAGTCAGAGCAGAAGAAAGAAGAAATAACTGAAGAACAAACAGATTCAGCCACAGTAGATAACATACAATTAGGACAGCACAGCAAAATCAGGACTATTGAAAGACAAACTGTTCCTTCTACACTCTGAAACTATCTCTCTCTTTTTTTTTTTGCCTCTGTGTTTATATCTATTTATAATAACTTTATTCATTCCATAATGACTAGGTATAAGATGATTGAATATCCAATTTTCTATTTTGCCAAAATCTTTATCTGAAACCTATTGCTGGTCTTCCTTGATGGGCATTTTCCTTTTTTTTTTTGACTGCATCATTGGCCACATTGAAGATTCAAACTACCTAGAGTATTTAGAGAAAGGGAAAAACTATGTCTCAATCACTTTATTTAATTTATTTATTATTTTTAAGAGATGGGGTCTTGCTCTGTCACCCAGGCTGGAGTACAGTGGCACGATCATAGATCACTCTAACCTCAAACTCCTGGGCTTAAGCAATCCTTCCACCTCAGCCTCCTGAGTATCTGGGACTACAGGCACACATCACCATGCCTCGCTAATTTTTTTTTTTTTTTTTTGGTAGAGATGAGGTCTCGGTAGGTTACCCAAGCTGGTCTCGAACTCCTCGGCCCAAGGGATCCTCCTGCCTCCACCTCCCCAAAGTGCTGGAATTACAGGCGTGAACCACTGCACCTGCTCCTCGATCCCTTTAACAGTCTCATGAGTTTATATTATTGGTATTTCAGGAAGTACTGCACTAATAAGGGCATCATATGAATCAGCTCAGTACTACACCACCATCTATGAAAGAAGACATTTGTTAGCACAGTGACAATAGGGAAGAGCACACATATATTCATGTACAGTGGCAAGAATAACAAAAATATAATGGACTAAATCACTTTGCAAGAACTTGCCCATGACATCCTGTGTAGATTCTGAGGCAATACAATTGTTGTGAATTGTCATATCTGGCATAAAACTAAGCTAGAGTAACTCACTCATATAATAAATATTTATGAAAATAAAAGTACAAATTCTACAGGATTGCACAATGTGAATATACTTAACATTTTTGAACTATACACTTAAAAATGGTTAAGATGGGGCTGGGCGCGGTGGCTCACGCCTGTAATCCTAGCTCTCTGGGAGGCCGAGGCGGGCGGATTGTTTGAGCTCAGGAGTTCGAAACCAGCCTGAGCAAGA